GATTCAGAAGGAAATATCAGAGGGTTAGAGAAGTACCAGCTGTTGGGTACCAATGTGAAAACAGGAAGGAGGGAGCAATTAAATTTGAGGTAAAGGGACTATTCAAGTGTCGGAATCCAAAGCCCCCACCATCTTACTTGCTTCTCTATAATTAAGATCCTGACATCTGTTTGTTCAACTGAGTGGTCATAGGTTTATCTTAAGGGAGTCATCATTAAATTATGAGTCTAGGGCCACCTGGCAGAATGGGGCATTAATTAAGGGAGGGACACTGCCTAATTCTGGTGCTGCATGTGAGTAAAAAAGCAATACTTAGCAAGTGCAATGACCCACTCCTATAATCCCAGTGACTAGGGAAGCTGAGGCAGGAGGACCACAAATTCAAGGCCAGCTTAGACAACTTAGCAAGACCCTGTTTCAAAATAAAAAGGACTGAGGATATAGCTCAGTGATAGACCACCCTGGGTTAAATCCCCAGTACCCCCCACAAAAAAAAAGAAAAAAGCAATACTTATTTCCTCTCTGCATTCTGAACACCAATCACTCATCCTTGCAGGAGGCCCAAGCATATGCAGATGACAACAGCTTATTGTTTATGGAGACTTCAGCCAAGACAGCTATGAACGTGAATGATCTCTTCCTGGCAATAGGTAAAGTCAGACACCCTGAGGTTTTCCTATTTTTCCTTTGTATATAGGTAAAAATTATTACTGACCCAAATCAAGAATAGGTGGAAATGTCTGCTTTTGTAAAAACTTTAGGTATGGGACTGGGGGTGTAGCTTAGTGGTAAAGTGCTTGCCTAGGAGCACGAGTACCTGTTTGATCCCCAACATCACAAAAGAATAAAATGAAAAAACTTAAAAATACTTTAACTTTCTGTTGTAATCTCCATCTTTTGATTGCAGCTTTAGCTCCCTTGTGTTCAATGTACTTTGCAAATAGTGAACTCTCCCCTCTTCAGGACATTTCTTTTAATCTCTCCTTTCCCTTTATTTTTCCTGTACCCAATAGCCTGTGTTTGTTTGTATGTGTGAATGGGGTAAGTAAAATCTACTTTGTTCCCTTCTCTTTTTTTTCTTTAGCTAAGAAGTTGCCAAAGAGCGAACCCCAGAATCTGGGAGGTACAGCAGGCCGAAGTCGGGGTGTGGATCTCCATGAGCCTTCCCAGCAAAACAAGAGCCAGTGTTGTAGCAACTGAGGGGTGGCTAGCAGCAAACGAGTATGGAGCTAGCACGAGAGCTAAGAAATAACCTCCATCCCCACCCCTCAGCACACAGCCCCTACGGTAACAGCACACTGAGCCCTGGCTCCCAAGGGCTGCCTCCTGACAGCTCCGTCATGGCACTTTTTAACGCTTCAGCAACCAACACCAGGCAGCTGTTGCCACTGGCCTCCTACCCCCTACTTTGGGGTTTAGGGGTCAAATCTCCCCAGGACTTAACTTCCAAAACAAACTTTCTTCACTTTGTATTATAGGTGCAAGACAGTGATCTTATCTTTCCTCCTCCTCCCCCTTGTTCTTTCCCATATTTGCAGAAAACATTTTTGTCTCCTTCTCCCTTCCACTTTTGATCAGTCCCTATTTTTGATCCTCTTTTCTTCCTCTCCCCAGGATGGAGAAGGTAGTGAATCCATGAACTGGAGGGAGATTTCTAGTTTAGTTATATTAATGGCCCTGGGGAAGAGTAAAAGCTCAGAGCAAGAGGCAGTAAGGAAACATTTCCTTTTTGTTTTTATGGTTGGAGTTTCTCGTGTTTGAAAACATTGCAGCATACATTAGTTGGCCCTGTGGAGGGTGTTCCTAGATAGAGTTGAGAATAGAGAGGCAAGCTCTCAGGCACCACGTGGGAGTCATATTGTTAGCTAATTGGACAAAGTGGAGGTGATGTGGCTCTGGAACTCTTCCAAGGCCCAGTTTCCTCACACCCAGCCTATTAGGTAGCTTCTCCCCTAGAGTGGGGACTGGACCCTAGAGTCCTCCAAAGAATCTTCACTGTTTGCCTGCATCTTTGGCTCTGCTGTGATCTAATTGGAGGAGTTTCTGACACCTATCCTCTGATTTATACATATGCATTTTCCCCCATTCCTCTGGCCTTTAGATGGCCTCAGCCCTAGCCACCACATCCCCCTGCAGTTTGCACTTTAATTGATGGTAGTTCAGTCGGGATACTTGTTTTATGGGAGTTTTGATTGATTTACCTGCCCTCCCTCCTTTTTAAGTAAATGGAATCTGAAGTATATGAGGTTTGGGGAGGGGCTTTAGAGAACAGAACCAGTGGCAGCTACTCAAGCCCAGTCTCCACTGCTGGCTTCCTCCAACTCTTGATTCTTAACCTATATTCTTGCCAACCTAGTTCGTGAGTATAGGTTTGCCTTTCCTGGAGAATTAACTGAGCAATTGGGGAGTGGCCTCAGAGTAGCATAGGCCAAAGTAGGGGAGTAAGAGAGGTCAGGAAAAAGGGAGTAGTTTTATATCCTTTCCCAGGGTTCACATTCAATTTGCTATCCATTACCATGTCTTTTCTACTTCCTTGTAAATAGGTATAATCTTTATTCTCACTATACAGTCTGTTCTATCCCCTGTCTCCCATCAGGATCTATTCCTTTTCTCCTTTGTTAGTATCTTGAGTTTAGTTCCTCCATCCTTCCCATACCTACCCTCCCCAACCAATAGTTTAATCCACATACCACTAGGGGCTAGTACCACAGAGGCCTGGTTGTAGTCCCTTCATATCATACCACCTGTTCCTACGGACAGAAAGTGACTAGCACTGAATGTGCCTCACAGCTGTCTCACATCATCAGAGGACCTTGGTCTTTTCTAAACTCTAATGTCTCTTCACATCCCTCATCAGGTGTTTTAGATGTCTGTGGGAAGCCATCAAGGCAAGGGAGAACTCTTAAGTTCTTTCTTGTTCTGGCCTAGAGTTTTGGAGAAATTTGGGGGGAAAAAAACACAGGAAAAGCCACGAGTGTCCCAGGCCAGCTGAGAAACCAGGAAGCTGAGAATCTGTAGGACCCAGCTTAGATTCTTCCACTTAGGCCTCAATTCCCTTCCTTTTCCAGGGGCAGCCTTAGTTCCCAAGGCCCTGAAACAACATACATTTCCCTTTCCTTCCCAGAAACCATTAGCCTCCCCACTCCCTACAAGTACCTAGTGCATCCTTTTTACAAGTGGAAGAACTAGAATGGCTCACCAAGTCTCTTAGAATTAAATTCTTTGTATGGTTTTCCTCATGGAATAGGAGTGAAGATGTTTCATTGCCTTGGGGCTGGGAAACCATTTCCCCAGGCTTCTCTCCTCCTTCACCTCCTTAGGAACAGTATTGGCCTTAGCTTCTGGGCCTGTCTGCCTTCTACTCCTACCAGCTCTTCTGCCCTCCTTTGAGCTCTGTTGGGCTTGGGCCTCTTAGTTTTTTATTTCCGAGCTCTTCATTTTCTTTCCTTCTGATCAGTTTTTTTGTTTTGTTTTATTTTGTTCATTTTAGGGAGGAGGGGTCTCTCTCTCTCTCTCTTTTTTTTTTCCCCCTCCTTCAAAGAAAGCATTTGTCTTTCTTTCCCTTTCTTCTTCTCCCAACATAACAATCGTGGTAACAGAATGCGACTGCTGATTTACCGATGTATTTAATGTAAGTAAAAAAGGAAAAAAAAAAAAAAAAGCGCATCGGAGTGTTGGATTGTTTTTTTCCTGTTTGTCTTCCTGATTCTAGAAATTTGGAAGAAAGGGCATACAACTGTTTTATTGAATCAGAACCATACATTCCATTAAGTGATTAAGTGTTTGCCTAGTATGCTTGAGGCTCTGGGTTTGATTCTCAGGTACTAGGAAAAAGAAAAACATACCTTCTTCTGTACCTTGGTTCTTATTCCCTTTAATCTTTTCTTGAACAGTGAAGAATCCAATTTAGAAAATAGCTCTTTTATTGCTGTTGAATCACCCCTATTCAAAGAGGGTGATAGATAGATAGCTTATCAAATCTGAACCTGTTTTATCTTTCAGGTTCTCTTAACAGAATGTATATAAGTATGTTGCCAGCTCAGTGGTGCATCCACAATCCCAGCAACTCAGGAGGCTGAGACAGGAGGAGCACAAGTTTGGGGCCAGCCTTAGTAATTTAGTGAGACCCTGTCTCAAAGTAAAATTTAAAAATAGCTGGGAGGTAGCTTACTATTGAAGTGTTCCTAAGTTAAATCCCCAGCACCACTGGGGGGGGGGGGGGGACAAGGATGTATATATATGTATGGAGATGTGGTCTATGAATCTCTTGATTCATTGATGTGATTGGAAGAATTCTCTATTTATAAATCCTTTGAAGTAATAGGCAGAAATGTATGTGCATTTTTCTAGGATGCATTACTACGTTAATTTATCAAAGAGGTCTATGATCTACAGGTTTAAAAAAAACTAAGCATGCTGGCACATGCCTATAATCCCTACTACTCAAGAGGCTAAGACCAGCCTGGGCACTATAGCAAAACTAAGTCACAAAAAAGAAAATTAAAAAAAAAAAAAAAAAAATAAATTACTGAATTATCTTTTCTTTTTTTTTTTTTTTTTTTTGTGGAACAAGAATTGAACCCAGGGGTGTTCTACCACTGAGCTATATCCCCAGGTCTTTTTTATATTTTGAGATGGGGTCTCACTAAGTTGCTACAACTGGCCTCAAATTTGGAATCCTCCTGCCTCAACCTCACAAATTGCTGGGATTATAAGCATGCCTACCTACCACACCTGGCCTGAATTAGCTTTTTTGATTGCTCATGTAGCTTCCACCCTAACAGGAAAATTTTTCCTGGATCTGCTTCTGACTCCTACTGTACGTGAAGCCCTTCAGTCTATCACAATTTAAAGGGGGTGGCGGCAGGGTGAGGAGGAATAAAACAGAAAAGATTAGATTGGTTGGTTGGTGTTTGCAGGAAGAGTTTTACATTCCAAAGAGTCTTAAGGAGTACTGATGCCAAATAGACTTCATTCCAGTTCCATCTCTGCCAACTTACCAGCTGTGGCCTTGATCAAGTTACTTAGTGCTCTCTTCCTCAGTTTCTTTATCTGTAAAAAGGAATAAAAGTTGAAGTTAAAAAGTAATTTGTGGCCAGGTGTGGTGGTGCATGCCTCTAATCTCAGCTACTTGGGAGGCTGAGGCAGAAGGATCACAAATTCAAGGCCAGACTTTGAATTTGAATTTGCTCAGCAATTTAGCGAGACTCTTTCTCAAAAAAGAGTTGAGGAAGTGGCTCAACGCAGAGCACTTGCCTAACATGTTCAAGGCCCTGGGTTCAATCCCCAGTGTTGGGGTAGGGTAGGGGGGTGGATCTTGTTGGGCTGGAGATATAGATTAATGGTACTGCACTTGTCTAGCATTGGAGAAGCTCTAAGCTCGGTAGTAAAGAAGTATGTGTCACACAAATAGGTATAGGAAGTGCATTTCTCTAAAATTGAACCTTTTTAATAATTTTTTATTAGTACATTATAGTCATACATAGTAGTGGGGGGTTGTGTGACATTCATATGTGCACGTAACAAGGCCTTTTTAAAAAAATATTTTTAGGGGCTGGGATTGTGGCTCAGTGGTAGAGCTCACGTTTAGCATGTGTGAGGCTCTGGGTTTGATCCTCAGCACCACATAAAAATAAACAAAGGTATTGTGTCCAGCTACTTATAAAAACTAAATATTTTTAAAATATATTTTTATAGTTGTAGGTGGATAAAATACCTTTATTTATTTATTTTTATGTGGTGCTGAGGATCCAACTCAGTGCCTCACCCATGCTAAATGAGAGCTCTACCACTGAGCTACAACCCTGGCCCATGCCCTTTTTTTTTTTTTTTTTCCTTAAACAACTATTAGAATAGGTCTGACTTCAGGTCTCTCCAATGATTTAATTATACACAGGTTGGAAATCTTTCCATTTCCAAAATCTTTATAAGAGTGTCTTCATTGTCATTTTCCCTTTCTATTTGTTAATACAGCCTCCAACCACAAACCAGAGTCCATGATTCCTGGTAAAAAACTCTAGTGGAGAGCAGAAAGGGAAATGATCTTCCAAATTTAATCAAACCTTCACTTAAAACTGATTAAATTATAGCTCAACACTCTGATCTCTAGAGGGCAGTGTTGGATAGGTTTGTTCCAGGCTCAGGAACTAGGTTTGACAAAATTTCAATCCCGCGCAAATGTTAAAAGGGTATAACAAATTTATTCTAATTTAAGAGAATTAAATTAGAATAAGAGACTATAATATTCGTACTTTGGGGCCATTGTCTCGTTAAGGGGTGATGATTTTTAAAAACTACGCAAAATTTAAAAGATGGCTATTCCTTGTTGGCTCCATACATTTAACGAGAAAATTCAACTAGTCCAAGTAATCTCGACGTCTTGGAACCACTATTTTAGGCTTCATTTCTGCTGTCATTCTTGGATATAAGAGAATTAAGCGACTGACCTTATTTTCCCTAAAAGACAAACAGGGCTGTCGTAGTTGCAATACGAATGCTTGTCAAAATTAGTAGAGACGAAACTCAGCGCCGGGAGACTAGCTGGATCCGGAGGCCTCCAGGGGAACTTCGGTCTCTGCCCAGACCTTCCAGCTGGAGAGGCGGGGCGTCTCAGTCTTCCCATCTTTCAGCTCAATCTTTGGATCCCTCATCACCTTCCATTGGGTTCCGGACATAGGCGAGGGTCCCTTCCTTGCCCACCGGAGCTGTAATCTACTCAAGTCAACGGCTGTGCAGCAAAAGTGGAAACAACATCGCCAGCTCAGTCCCGAGCCCTCGTGGCGCGCCGCCTCCCTTGGCCGGCGTCCAGCAAGCGGACCTGGCGGCTGGGAGGCGGCTTGCGACCGGCCAATGACTGGGGTACCCGCTGAGGGGCGTGAGGGAGTCTGTATAAGCTTCTGTGCACGTCACACCGTGCCGGCCCCGCCCCTGCGCGAGCACTCGCTAGGCGCTGGGTGGGTAAAACTGCCGAGGTGTGGACACTGAGCAGGGTAAGCAGGCTGCGGCGGAGAGGGAAAGGAGGGAGGGCCGCAGAGGGGGCAGAGAGGGGTCGGCGGCGGCTGGGGCTTTGTCTCAAGGAGTCTTTGAACCTTAGGGATAACAAAGGTACCACTGCCTCCACTCCCGATGCCCGGATGCTCTTGGGGTTGCTGAGTATTGATACCAGACTTTTTTTGTGCCAGCTGCTAGTTAGGGGCATAGGGTCTTCTGCTCTCCCCCGAATGTTAGACGTATCCTCTACCTAAAGTGCTCCTGGGGAATAAAGGTCCATCACCAAGGTGTAGCATTTCTGTAGTGCAGCAGAAAGCCACCCTCCCAAACCTGGAACTCCAGTCTGGTCCAAGAAGGCTGCTGGAATTAAGGATAGGTGGCAGAGTGAGCAAGGGTCTCATGACCCAAGGGTAAACTATAGTCTCTGTTCCTATTCCCATTTCTCGGGAGGTTTCTTTGTCTCCCCACCCATGCCAATCTCTCACTGGTTGGGTTCCATCATTTCATTAGCAATTGGGACAGTTCTTATCCTCCCACTTTGACTTTCCTGGGTCTGTGTTCTGCTCAGAGGCACTGGATTGTGAAGAAGATGTGTTGCAGGACAGAGGAGAAAAATTAACTTCTTTCTCCAGCCCATCCCTTGACACCCTGGCCATTGACTCATCAACTTGCTGAGCTCACTAGAATGGCATAGAGAAGGTTGGGGTGGGGACATGGAATTAGGATCCAATTCCCAGCTGGGGTCAATTTGGAGAGCATGAGGCAGAGGGAGAGAAGGAGAAAGGCCTTCAGAGACAATGTTATTGCTTGTTCACTCTTTATATCAGTTCTCTAGGTAGATCTCATTTCAGAGATGAGGACAGAAGTTCAGAGAGGCTTGGTACCTTGCCCAGGGAACTGGTTAATGGCAGGGCTGCTTTACAAACCCAAAGTAGTTTGTCTCTAGAATCTGGGTTTATTCATTTATTAGGCTGCCATTACCTTTTTCACCTTTTGTCCCTGTTTGTATCAGTCTTACCCTCAGTTATCCTCTGTTGACTTCAGAAATAATCTCCAGAAAACTGGAACTGTAGTTCATTGATAGGGTGCTTGCCTACCATTGGCAAGGCCCTTGATTTGAGCCCCAGCAATCCAAAATAAATAAATAAACAAACTGCAAATTGGACAGTAGGCATTTGTCTTTTGCCCTTTAGGCCTTTGGCTTCAGGTATTGCTCTCTATAGTGGACAAAGTAGACACTGGAGGATGGAAAATAGGTGATTTTAAAAGCACCTGTCCCCCCATTTCCTTCCGTCCTCTTAGCACAATCTTTATCTCTAAAGTGCTCTATTTTCCCAGAGAGCTCCTTGCTGATTTTTTCTGTTTCATCCTCCAACCTATTTCCTCAGGCCTCCCTAATATCCCTTCTTAAGGGACTTCATAGTTTAATCCTGGAATCTTCCTCCTGCAGTTCTACCACAATGCTGCTGCTGCACAGAGCTGTGGTCTCAGCACTTCGACAGGCCTGCAGGTAGGCCATCCCATCCCAGGACTTGCCCCCTTACCATATCTCCTAGATAACTATCTTATCTGTCAGGTGATTATCTTATCTGGCAGATAAAGATAGTTGAGTGGTAGCCAAGGAGGAAAAGGAAAGCCACATTCCACTTGTCCCACCCATTCCTAGAGAAACTAACTTCCAACAGTAATGACCAACCAGGGAGAGACAGAACTCAAACATTCACTGGCACTTTCACATGACCATATGTGTTTACTAAGATCTCTCTCTTCCAGATTCAGGCCACCTCCCTCAAGGCTCTGCATCCAGGCCTGCTCTACAAATGAATCGTTTCAGCCCCAGCGCCCCAGCCTGAACTTCTCTGGTGATAATTCCAGCACTAGGGGATGGAGAATCATGGGGGCCCTGCTAGGCTTTGGCACAGCATTGGCCTATCATGATCATCGGTGTAGGGTAAGTGCAGAGGGGCTTCATTATTAAAATAAAGGGGTCCTTAGGTAACCTAGGCTGTGACTCATGTTCTTGCTATTACCACAGAGCCCATGCTGGCATTGTCTTCATGCACAGTATAGATGGCATCTTCCACTTTCATTTCCCAAAGGCTACTACTGTGGGTTGGTTTGGAGTGAACTAGAGTTATTTCTTAATATTCTGCTCTCTTTTTGCTTCATTCCTTCCCTTCCTGCAGGCTTCTCAGGAGTCACCACCCTTGTACACTAAGGAGGAAGTGTATTCCCACAGAAGCCCTGAGACTGGGATCTGGGTAACTCTGGGCTGTGAGGTCTTTGATGTCACAGAATTTGTGGAACTACATCCAGGGGGACCATCTAAGTTGATGCTAGCAGCTGGGGGTCCCCTAGAACCCTTCTGGGCCCTCTATGCTATTCACAACCAGCCCCATGTATATGAGTTACTGACTCAGTACAAGATTGGGGAGCTGAAACCTGAAGACAGTGCACCCCCCACCTTGGAAACATCTGACCCTTATGCTCATGATCCTATGCGACATCCAGCCCTAAAGGTCAACAGCCAACGTCCCTTTAATGCGGAGCCTCCTCCTGAGCTGCTGACAGAAAACTACATCACACCTAACCCTATCTTCTTCACCCGGAATCATCTGCCTGTACCTAATCTGGACCCAGACGCCTATCGTTTGCATATAGTAGGGCCACCTGGAGGTCAGTCACTGTCTCTATCCTTGTGTGACTTGTACAAGTTTCCCAAACATGAGGTCACAGTCACTTTGCAGTGTGCTGGCAATCGGCGCTCTGAAATGACTCAAGTCAAAGAAGTAAGAGGTCTAGAGTGGAGAACAGGGGCCATCAGCACTGCACGATGGGCTGGGGCACGGCTCTGTGATGTGTTAGCCCAGGCTGGTCACCAACTTTCTGAAAATGAGGCCCATGTCTGCTTTGAGGGACTGGATTCAGACCCCACTGGGACTGCCTATGGAGCCTCTATCCCTTTGGCTCGGGCCATGGATCCTGAAGCTGAGGTCTTGCTGGCATATGAGATGAATGGGCAGCCTTTACCTCGTGACCATGGCTTTCCTGTGCGGGTGGTGGTTCCTGGTGTGGTAGGTGCCCGCCACGTCAAATGGCTGGGCAGAGTGAGTGTGGAGCCAGAGGAAAGTTACAGCCACTGGCAGCGGCGGGATTATAAAGGCTTCTCTCCATCTGTGGACTGGGATACTGTAGATTTTGACTCAGCTCCATCTATTCAAGAACTCCCTATCCAGTCAGCCATCACAGAGCCTCGGGATGGAGAGACTATAGAGTCAGGGGAGGTAATTGTCAAGGGCTATGCATGGAGTGGTGGTGGCAGGGCTGTGATCCGGGTAGATGTGTCCCTGGATGGGGGACTAACCTGGCATGCAGCTGACCTGGATGGAGAAAAGCAGCCACCCAGGAAGGCCTGGGCCTGGCGTCTATGGCAGCTGCAAGCCTCTGTGCCAGCTGGACAAAAAGAATTGAACATTGTTTGTAAGGCTGTAGATGACAGTTACAATGTGCAGCCAGACACAGTAGCCCCAATCTGGAACCTGCGAGGTGTACTCAGCAATGCCTGGCACCGTGTCCATGTCCATGTCACATCATGAGAGCATGGAATGGAGTCAACTATCCTATAGAAAACACCTTGACCCCTTTCCCCACCCATCCTTTGGTCTTCTGCCACAGAAAAACCTTTTCCTCTTCTCCACTTCTTGGATCAAAAACTTGTACTGTGCCTTCCTAAGTCATATCCAGGTATTCATGCATTGCACATTCCCACCCAGGCATCCTCTCTCCTTTGACAGTATGTTACATACCCCTCCTGGCCTCTAACCCTGTGCCAGAAGATAAGAGCTGTTGGAGCAAGGGAGACTAGAGGCAAGAAAAATAATTCTGGAGCCAAGCACCATTTTCTCATCCTATGCCACCTCCACTTCTAAATGCTTGTTGCTGTCCAGGCTGTATTTTGTTTTTCTTGGATTCTTCAGAGAATGTGTATGGTGTGTGTAAGAAAAACATATACTACTTTCTACTGCTTCTCTGGGTTGTAATGGGCTTGTGGGGGCATTGAAAGGTATAATCCCTCTCCATTTATCTAAATACATCAATAAAGTGTCTATTTAAGATTGTGAGTCTGGGGCCTCTGGGGCCTGGGGAATTGTCATGTTGCAAGAGGGAAGTATTGGCACAGGTGAGATTATACCAAAGCCAACAAATGGTGGTGTTGGTAGGACGTGGGAAGTGGAGGAAAGCAATCTCTGGGAAGTCAAGGAGTGGGGCTTCAGTTTGTTACTTTGAGGTCCGTCGTCATCTGCTGTGTTGCCTACGTTATTGACCCCGGGGTACCCCCTAAGAGATTATTTTAAAAACATTTGGTACCCTCAAACCGCTATCCCGCTAACTGTATGCGCTTGGCAGGAAAGGCAAAGAATGTTAAGAGGTTGACATCAATAGTCTTAGGAACGGCAGGGGCAAAACTCGGCACTAGCGGGGCTGAGAAGCACAGGGTTCGATTCTCAGCAACTCATATAAAGACCCAATGACAACTAAAAATTTTTTAAAAAACCTCGGTACTAGGGTCAGACGTGTCAGAACGTGTGTGGCGCCCAAAGTAGACCTAGTTTGCAAATTAGATGCAGACGAAGGGGTAGTATTTTCGAGTTATCCTCTAGGAGCGACAGAACCATTCGGACTTGAATCTTTCGGCACTCGGCTACTCTCCCCTAGCCCTTCTTTTTTCTCCCCAGCAGTCTCCCCGGCTTGGGGGCGCTCGGCGTTCGG